ATTAAGACACAAAAAAACAAAAACAAAGAGTTGAAAAATGTCTAAAATTATGATTATTTTATTTTAGAATATATATTAAAAGTATTTTTGCTTATTTTACAGATGTTGCTCGCAGAAACAGCACAGTGTTCCTTTATTTCTTACTTTTTTTACCCTGAAAGAACATTCATCCTCTGATAAAAGTCCAACAGGTTTTCTGGGGGGGGGTTAAATGCATGCTGGGTAATGTAGGCAAGTCTCCATTCCAGGAAATTACAATCATTCATCACAAAAATAACTCCTGGAATTAATTAAACATCATCTTCTCAGGACATCTCGTCACTGACCTGATGCTATCAGTTCTCACTTCACTGAATGAAACTCCCTAATCTGCAAACAGACACTGCTTTACACCACTGGAACCACGGGAGCTTTGGAAATGTTTTTAAAACGAGGAGAGAGGAGGAAATATCTGAGATTAGGCCGCATCACGTGAAGGACAAAAGAAGACCAGAAAGAGAAAAGCTTTATTTGATGTCATTTGGCGCCCAGAGTTTAGTCTGACAGGACAAATGAACCTGAAGGCGAAGATTAAAGATTTATTCTCTGATGTTGTTCCAGCTCACTCAAATCCCCAAATCTCCTCTCAGCCCACTGTGGATGTTTTCAAACTCACTTGTGCATGAAAGCTCTCTGGGCTGCGGAAGGTGTGTTTGGATACAACAAAACCTGTAGACCACAAGTCGGACAGCACTGAGTCAAAACAGCTTATAATCTGACAGTGAGTTGTTGTTTCTGGTTGAGAACAAACAGCTGAATCTTCATAGTGACTTTCAGCTCGTTGTTTATCTGTGCGGCTGCAATTTTCCTGTTCTGATTCCCTCTCAGAGGTCTCGTCGTGTCGTTTCCAGAGTAGAAGAAGTTGTAAAAAGCCACCGTGCACTAAATGTTTTTAGTTTATTGGTGAGTTAATGTTGCTAGCTTGACAGCTAACTTCTGCTACGATAATCTTCACCTGAACACACCTTTATTCTGCAGTTCTGCCCTCACAGCTGGAGGCTCTCTGATGCACAGATTTAAATATCGACATAGAGCTAAGCTAGCTGCTAAGCATCAAACCTAACTGTAAAAGTACTCCTTTACAAGTAAAAGGTCTGCATCGAAAATTTACTTAAAGTATTGAAAGTAAAAGTACTCAAAACAGAAAGAAAAATGTCCTGCGACTTTGATATTAGTCTGTATTATATAATGAGAGATTATTCATGCATTAATTTAAAGCAGGATGTTGCTGCTGCAGCTCATTCTGAACTGTTTAGTTTCAGATTGATTATTAGTAAATATTCTGAAAGTAGTGAAATCAATGCTTGAGCAGTCCAAAACTCAACTTTATTACAAACATTTAAATTGTTAAGATAATTAAAGCAGCAGATCTTGACATTTGTGGACCAATGCAATATTAAATCTGTTCTCATGAAAAATAACCAATTCATTTTCTGGCACCCGACTAATCCAGTCACCTGTTTGGGAGTTTAATTTATAACAAAACATCATATTTTATAAACTCTTCATGTGTTTCGTGTGTAAAAAACTGACATTGTAAAGTAACTGAAGCTGTCAGATAAATGTAGTGTGTTTGTACATGTGTAGGTTAACTGTGTGTTACAGCAGCTCAGGATGAGGAGGAACTTCCTGTCCAAAGCTATATGTGTGTGTGTGTGTGTGTGTGTGTTTCCGGTGACGACCCTCAGTGATGTCACAGCTCGCCACAGGAAATGACACGGGGCTTTTCTGAGTCAGAGGAGTTTGTCACATGTGGGAACAACGGATTTTATTACTGTATGATAATCCCACCAGATTGAAGATGTTGATTCCTGAGACGGCTCTACAATTAGTGGTACTTCTGCTGGTCGCTGCCCAAGTTACACTCTTTTTTTCTTTTTCTTTTTTTTTACAGGAAATAAATATGCAAGATTCTTCATTCTGCAGTACAGTGAAATATTCTGTCACATTGATGGTTAAAAAGTGCGACCTGTCAAGAATATTGATCCTGAAATCGGCTCTCAGACTGGAGCCGGCATCAGGATTAGAGACGGTTTCTGGTCTTTTTGTGCACAGTAAATAACATCATTGGTAACAGTATTCAGAACTTACTTAAATGTCGATTAGACCAAGTGCATCCCCCTGCGTCTCTGACTGTCCTGACGTTAAACTTGAAATGGTACAAACCGAAGAGACGGGTCATTCAAAATGCATATTCAACATGTGACTCAAAGATTCAAAATCAAACGAGGCTTCTCATGTAAGGCTGTGTTTTATTTAGTAGCTCGTTGCAGCAGCTAAACCACATTTCACTCATAACTGCTCTCGGTATGCTCTTCTTCAGTTCATCTCATGATATTTATCTCTAAAACTGTTAAATCTGCACGATGTCACCTCAGATACTGAACATGCGCACTGATCTTGGTAGTTTAAGGGACTCTGCACCTTTTTATGTGAACTGCAAACTGCCCTCAAGCTTTTCTGATGTTTTAATGACTCTTGTTGTTGGTCTGTTGTCGTCGTTTGGTGTTGTTATTGTCTGCTGTTGTCTGAAAGTTTCTTGTTCCGAGTCTCCCTCCTGATTAAATAAAGTTTATTTAAGTTGGTGCAGCTTTTGTTGCATTTGTCCTCATCGCTCTGTCACGCCACAAACGCCATATAGTGATTTTTAATTAAGGTAACGGTGTTTGTTTTATTTATTAAGAAAGTGAATCACAGAGTGAGTAAAGATGTTGCTCTCTTTCATGATTTGTGAACGTGCACGAGAACCCACAAACAGACTTATGGGAGACCTCCTGGGTGACTTCATCCTCCAGTGTACGCACTGATTCCATGTGAAGAACTTTTTCTCCGCCCGGTCCACAACAACATTATCAACATAAAACTGGTTGGCAGTGCTGCAGAGGACTGTTGGCCTTCACCCACGATGTTAGATCAGGAGGGAGGGGGATACATTTACTGTGTACTTGAAATATTTGAATATTTTACAGGAAAAGAGAGGGATTTGAATCTGCAAATCAAATGTGAGATAATGGACTGTGTTTGCTTATTCAATGAGGAACATGTTTGTATAAAGAGTCACTTCCAGAAACACAGGAACGATTGTGAAACATGAAACAGTGCAGCTGAACTCTCGGAGCTGTTGTTGGCACAGACAGGAAGTAGTGAGACAAACAGTCCAACATCAACATCACAGTAAACACACACACAGACTGGGGCACAGCTGAAAAGAAGGGGGAAGGCACATTTAAAATCCTGAGGCTTCATTGCAGAAACATGTTCTAACTGCGTTTCTGTCTTAGGTGTCAAAGACAGGAGCAAATCTTCCTGTTATAGAGCCGATTCCTAAACTCATGGCTGTGTCCTTCCCTTCTCAGACCTTCTAACCAGAACTGGATTTTTCAATCAGCACTCGTCCTGTCACCTGTATCTATGTTTGCACTGTGCGTGAGACTTCCTGTGTCCATCATGGTTAGCTAGCCATGGCGCTGTCAGACACCGTTCACCACTTCGCGCAGGCGCTGGCATCAGTTTGTAACGCACTGGGCGGCATAGTTTAACACACTGGGGGAAACCCCGTAGTGGCATTTTTTTTACGCTAAAGGTAGGTAGGTGCAGGATATTTAACAGTAGAGTCAGAGTAAGGAGGTGGTGAGCCCGAAACTGGACTTTCAGTCAGGAGACTGGTGTTTGTTTCCCGTGGGGGAAACAAAAAGTCAACATTGAATTTTTTTATTTAGGTTACGTAAGTTGTGTAAGTAACATTACTTAACTTACGTAAGTTAACTGAGGTTAGTAACAAAAATGATCTTTTTCTAAACCTAACCAAGTACTTTTGGTGCCTACACCGAACCACAATGCAGTACTTCTTTTGAAAGTCTAACCGGACGTTGCATATTTATTGTTGCCGTGGAGCCCTAAATGTTGAAAAATGATGCACATGTGATGAGAATATGTTGACTCATGACTCTGCTGAACCTCTGAGATGAGCCCTTTTAACCCTAACTAAAGCGAGCAGCTGTTTGAGGAAATTACTGAGCCTTTTTGAACATAAATCTATAAATCTGTGAGGAGTTTTTAAAGATTAACGTCTTCAGGAGGAATAAATGGGCTCAGAGCTGAGAGCCACAGACAGGAAGTCAAAGTGAGAGACGGACTGACATGTTGTTGGTTTGACTCTCAACATGAGATTTGTTGACAGGAAGAAAAATATACCAGGCTTAAACTTTACTGAACATCCATTTTTCTCGACATCTACTGTGAATAAAAGATCTTAGTGTGCGTCTAAGAACTCTGGGAGTTGTAGTTGATAGATGCACGCCGTTTCTGGAGCTTTTGTCCACATGGCATGGTCCTCATCGTGTAAAGTTTGTTCAGCTGCCAGATGTTCAAACTTTCCGTGATGGATCAGCCATGTTGAGCTTTCTGTGAGCTGCTCTTTCCAGCTGTCAGACGCAGTGACTCATACGGCAGCTCTGATCAGATAAAAAGTTTGTTATTTGCACTTTAAATGATCCATTCAGCCAAATTACAAAAAGCAAAAACATTGCTCCTCTCTGTTCTTTAGTTGTGCGTGTGCACTGTAGTCAAGGCCAAAAGTCTTGTAGCATTACAGAAGGTCTGCTAAAGGAATAGTTTTTTAAAATTCACTTCTTCTCTTTCATGCTGAGAGTTAGATGTTCAGATTGATACCATGCTCATTAGCTTAGCTTAGCATAAAGACTGGAAACAGCTAGCCTGACTCTGTCCAAAGGTAACAGGTTAGCTGTTGGTGGTCAGTGAGGAGACGACACGGTGTTTGACCTCCGACCCCAAACAGGATGGAGGCAGCAACAAACAAACTAACAGCAGTCAAAGACTCTGTATATGTGTGTGTGTCCTCGAGACCTTCAAAATGAGCTCGTGATCCGTCTTCCTGAGTCACTGTGGACACGTTATCACTCAGCATCAGTATCCTGACTCTGTGTGTCTGTGTTGTGCAGGAACTGGTGTGCGTTCGTGCAGAACCGCGTGGTTACCGTGGCCATGGAGTGCGGAACAGAGAAGTACACCATCAAGTCTCGGAGTCCGTGTCCGAGCGGGACGCCCGACTGTGAATTGGTCATGTGAGTACACAACAATAAGAGAGGTGGATTAAAAGTCTGGGGACCTGATCCCAGACGAGCTGAGAGGTCTGGATGGTTCATAACGAAGCAGAAGATCAGAAATGTATTTTGGCTCTAAACCATTCAGTGTTTTATAAACCACCAGTAATATTTTTAAAACCAGTTCTCTGACAGACAGGAAGCCAATGTAAAGACCTCAGAACTGGAGTGATGTGGTCCACTTTTTGGTCTTAGTGAGGACTCGAGCAGCAGCGTTCTGAATCAGCTGCAGCTGTCTGATGGATTTCTTAGGGAGCCTGTAAGGACACCGTTACAGTAGTCGAGACGACTGAAGATAAATGCATGGATAAGTTTTTCCAGGTCCTGCTGAGACATAAGTCCTTTAATCCTTGATATATTCTTCTGCTGGTAGTTGGCTGACTTGTAATCATGTCTGTTGAGAGTCCTGTACTTAAATGTACGTTATACATTATGTATCTTTAAGCCACCACCTACCACCTAAGAACACATGAATGAGAATGAAATATAATGCAGAGCCACAGCTGCTTCTGGCTGTCAAGTGATCAGATTCAGTCAAGTCTGTTTAATTATTAAAGCTTTAATTTCCCTCAAAGGCCAGCGGAGTTACAGGCAGGCGACTTCAAATACATTCTGCTGGGTACTTTTATTTTGAAATGTCTGCTTTAGAAATGCAGCTTCCTCCACAGCAGAGCCATGTTATTAAGTGTCAAGTCCTCATTGGATAATGGGCCGTGAGTTCACCTGCTCTCTAAGGAAAGTCGTCACCGAGATCCGAACCAAAGCTCATGTTTTGATACATTCGGTTAGTTTTGGTTTGGTTTCACTGCAATTCTGCGACCGCACTAAAGGACTTTACATGATCACACTTGCGTCCTGTCGTCATCCTCTATGTGGGCTGCGTCTCCCTGTACTGGACATTGATTGGTTTATTAAACAGCTCAGCGGGTATCTTTGACAAGAATGAATGAATAAAAAATGAACATATGCATATTTGCCACTATACTATTATTATTATTATTATTGGTTTACACGTCAACCGCCAAACTTCCTGTAAATCTTCTGAAAGTGCGAACCATCCAAAAAAATGCTTTCACACCAGGAACGAACCGAACCGTGGTTCAGTTTGATCCGGACCGAGACTTCTTCTTTTGGTCGGCCCAAATTTCGTCTGTTTGGTCCGGACTGTTTGGTCCGGACTGTGGTCCGTGGGAGGTTTCATACCTGCAATTTTGGTTCGGACCAAACTGAAAAGTCAGAAAGTCCGGACAAAACGACGTAGGTGTGAAAGCCCCCTAAAACACCTGGAGAGCCCCGACTCTGCCGAACCAGGATGAATAAAGTCTGATTAACGGAGCTGCACAGCTTCACATCCAAAACATCAACGTGAGCAGTCGGGAGAGTTTATCCCAGTGATGTGGAAGATACAGCTGGATTGAGTTTGTTAATGGGAATAACTTGAACTCTAGTTAAAGCACTCAGGAAGTATCCAGGATTTTAAATAAACTGCAGAAAGTCTTACAAACAGATGCATCAGATCATAAACTGACTGTGCAACAAAGAGGCCTGATGAGCGAGCACAAGTGGGCCGACAGTGTGAGGTGTGACGGATGTTTTCTTTTGGTTAAAGGCTCAATTATGTTTTCAAACAAATTCTACTACACAACATGATATTTATTTTTCAGCCTCTTCTCTAATTTTGTTCCAGTGAAGTTCTGGATACCTTTGCCTGATGAGGGGTCACGACTCACAGTTGCTTCATTTTTATGGGTCACAAGAGAAAAGGGTTGTGAACCAGTGGGCCTGAATGCTGGATCAACACGTCCAACACAGCCAGGAATAAACTCACTGTGGGAACATTGTGAATCACTTATTCATGTTTTGTGTGGCACAAAAGTAGCCTAATTCCAAAATACTGAGTCTAAAAATACTCATAGTGTAATTGTAAAAGCTTCAGCTCTGCTTAGAAAAAAAACTGTCTGTAAGTATTAACGGAGGGAAAGTAAAAGGTTTGGTGAGTAAAGCCAACGTGCTGGAGAAGAGCTTGGACGTACAGCTGAAGTCTAACAGCTGCTGAGTGAAATGTTCTCACAACTGACAGGAACAGTTATTAAACTAGCAAACTAAGAAACTGGAGCTTTTCCTGAAACCTGATCCAGAGTCAGACATCCTGCTGCTCTCATTTAAAAACCTCATTTACTGTAAATTAGATTTCCCACATGTTCCTGCGGTACCTTCAGCTGAAGACGGACATGTGGAGGACTTTGTACAAACTGCCCTCTGTGGAAACCATCAGATAACAGCTGAGCTGAAATCCACACTGTCTGACCTCACTTCCTGGAAAGTTTAAGTTTGATTTCATTCTGACCTGACAGCAGAGCAGAACTGATCTGAAATCAGATCCCCGTCAACTTTTCCCTCATCGAACTTCAGGTGTGTGTGTTTTTGTGTGTGCAGGTACAAGCTGGCCACCCGGCCGGTGTACAGGCAGAAGCAGAAGACCTTCACCGCCCTGCTGTGGCGCTGCTGTCCGGGACACGGAGGAAACAACTGTGAGGACACAGGTGGGTCTGCAGAAGTTACCGTGAAAAGGGTGAAGCTCCAACAGCAGCTAGGAAGAAGGAGAAGCTGTCCACATAGCGACAAGTACTTATTGTGCAACGTCGTTTCCAGGAAACGTGAACAAGATGTCTGTCTGACGAAGACCTCGCGGGGTGAAACTTTGCACCTGTAAAAACTTGGAGGCAGGCGCAGACAGCCTCTCCTCTTAACAAATGACTGTAATCTCATTACTTTTTTAAATTGATGTGCAGCAGAACTGTTCCACTTTCAGCTCATCAGCTGGCGTCACGTATTTATGGTTTTTATATTGGTGTTTAAGAGTTTGTCTTTTCCACCAGGCTGAACAGTGCTGACGCAGCAAACACACGTGTATATGTGCTAATATGAGCATTTGTTCAGCTAGAGCAGTGGTCCCCGTAGAGCCACTGCTACGGTTGCATGAATATGATGGATGTGGTGGTTTTCAAACAAAGGGATCTGATGCTAACAAGGCTGTTTTGCTAATCTGGATCAATCGCTCGTATTATTATTAATGACTGATGCAGAAGAGAAATCTTCTTGCTGAGGTCGGTGGTGCTTCTGAAGGGGGGCCTGACAGAAAACGGTTGAGAACCACAGCAGAGGGTTTGCACAGACGTGCCGGTTGGATGACACACTGTTGTTCACCGAGAATATTGTCGATCTTTGGACAGAGCCAGGATAGATGTTTCTCCCTGCTTCCAGTCTTTATGCACAAGCATAGCTAACCACGTCATGACTCCAGCTCTTTCACACTTCTCCACTGATTTATCACAATGTCGGGCTCACGTTGGACACTTAAAACAAAAAATAAAGGATGTAATTCGATGCAGCAAAGGGAGAGATGTCGATTGGTTCATTCCACACATCCTTCTCCATCGTCAAAACCTGCTTCTGTGGACGTGTTACAGAAGCATCTCAGGGCTAAGGCCTCCAACACTGATTGGTCAGTTCAACTTGTAGATTACACTAAATACAGATATGTGTGTGCTGCGTACCAGCTCAGTCTGGATCATCGTTTTTTACCCCAGTCATTCTATTTTTCTCCACTGGGGTCTATTTTTAAATGTCCTTTTAGAAAACCAGCCCAGCTTTGGTATCAGGGGTTTAATTTAGTCCAGACTGTGTGTGTTAGGGTGCAGTGTTTACCAGATGTCTGAAGGAGGACATCCTCTCTCCTCTTGTTTGCGCCAAAACTCAAAGTGTATCGATCTTTTTCCCACCATGAGTCAGAGAGTTTTCCTCTCGCTCCATGAGGGTGTTTTTTTTTTAAAACCCACTTCCTGGTTGTTGAAGTGAGACAAACCAGATTATTTCATAAGATGTAAAGCGGCAGAATCTGAATAAATAAATGTCCTGATGTGTTTGTCTCTGACAGTCCCTGACGCGCAGCTGGATTCTGGAAGCTCGGCTCTGGGTGGACGATCTGAAACGGCGAGAACAGGTACGATGACGCTGCTCACCTGCACGCGCATGTCGAGTTTCGTCATATACATATTTTACATTCGAATAAAATAAAACAATAAATTAGAGAAGAGTTAATAAATACAATAAAAGTAGCATTAAAGATAGAAATAAAAAGGGAAACTACTTTTAATTTAGAAGAATGATATAACACAGAATAAGTGTGTAAATGTGTGTGTATATATTATACACACATTTACAGTATGTACAATATGTGTAAGTTACAGTGCAAAACACTTTAGGTAGAGGGTAGTACTACCGATCCACCGGCGGTAGTGAGGGTAGAATATAACGAGGGTATCTAAGGAACCAAATTAGAATAATGAACAAATATAAACATAAGAAAACGAGGTGCGAGTGAGGCTGATTGGGAGAGAAGGGAGATGAGCGTTGCCCACAGCCGGCGCCATCTTGGCTCTTCAGATAGTGAGCCATGTGTCATTACACTGGGGACGCTGGGGACATGTCCATTTTTTTAAAATATGTTCTGAAAAATAGCTTGCAGCAAGAAATGTTATATAACAAATGAAATTGCTTGAGAAAAAAACTGCATTTATATTTGTCACCTGCCCCTTGAATTTTATTTATTATTTTGAATTATGAATAATTTGTTATTACATCGTGTCTCGTGAGCAAAGTGTTTTGCCACATACCCTGAATCTGAGCCCTGGTGACCCCACTACTCTCAACACAAAGACACACACTGAACCTGATCCGAACTTTCACCCTGATGGTCTGAGCAGCAGAGAGCTGATGGTGTTCAAGTTTCAACGATTATGTTTGGCACAGACCAGTCAAACATCCATCTGTGATCCTGCCTTTAAAAATTCTTTATTTTTTGTTTGGGAACACACACCCTTCAGTCTCGACGTTAACGGTGTCAGCCTGACTCATTCCTGCCTCTTTAACAAAGTGAGGAAGCTGTGAAGTGCTGAGTGACGCTCACCTTCAATAAACCCTCAGGTCAGGAGGAGGTCCAACCTCCCCACCTCCTCTGGGGAAGAGGGTGTGGGTGAGCTGCTCCTGCCCCCCCCAACACACATCCTCGGCCTGTAAACAAGCAGCGACTCACACACTAAAGGAGGGGGAGTGCGTCAGCGTCCTGATTGAGGTTTGTTATCAGAGGCCTTCAGCCATTCTGTTGAACACTGTAAGAAGAGGTCAGAGGTCACAGCAGCCTGACGGTGGTTGAAACTAATGTTGCTGTGACCTGAAGAAGTAAAGGAAGAGCGACAAGCCGAGGGCCGAGAGTAGGCGGGAGGCTTTTATCGGTCGTAAAAGGGTCTGTTTGTTTTACCTTGAGCCCAGATGTTCAGATGTCGGGAGGTGGATGAACGGTGTTTTCATGTTTTGACCCTTGATGACAGCACGTGTCGTAGAGGTGCTGTGTATTCTGACCCTCGAGGTATTTTAGGAGTTGGCATGAAATGCGGTTCGGACCTTCACGTTCCCCTCAGGATGCACTAAATGCACCTATTCCGCGCTTGCCGCTTTTTTCCCCGGTTGCCGAGGAAAACGCAGTGATCTAATCACAAGCCGTCCAATCACAGCGCAGCAGGGGCAGGACGAAACGACGTGCCTCCTCGCCGAGGTAGTTTGTGGTGACATTTTTACATTCAGTAAAATTATGTAGCCTACTTGCAAAAAAAACGCTGCACTCCCAGCTGGCCGTTTCCAGAAGAGCAGCTGCTGTTTTCAGCTGGTAAAAATACGCTTCGCAGGGACACAGGCCCTAAAGGTTAACAGATGACTTGATGATTATAACATGTGTAAACATTTCTCACAAAACAACAATAAAAAAGGTTTTAACTTTTTGGGCAGTTTTCTAGAAAAGCCATTTAAAATTCATCATCCACTCATTTTGTGCCGCGGCGGCACAAACGCTTCAGTCAATGTTGTCCTGTTTGGCGTCCAGCTCTTGCTGTTTCTGATGCTTAATATGTCTTTATATCAGACCTGTGACATCACATCCTGTTTCAGTGCAGCGTGTGGAGACTTCTCACTGCGCTGAAGATAAATGTGAGCGTTTCACTTGTTTGGTAAAAAGGTCTCGTTGAAGCAGACCAACGCACTCTGAACAGAAAAACCAGTAGTGAGTTGCAAACTGAAGGTGAACTCAGCCACAGTGCAGCTCTGCAGTACTGCAGGATATGTCCAGTGTACACAACGTGAAATATTTGTACCATGAGTGGCACTGAGAACTCAAAACAGTCGATGTTTGTGGGAAAAAATCTGACTAAAATAGACCTTTGGCCTTTAGAGGCTGATTTAACAAAGAAAGACAAACAAAGAGGCCGTTACACACACACACACCTCGAACATGGTACAGTCCGCTCCCACCACGCCTACGATTGAACCGACTTCCTGCGAGCTGAAGTCGATGTAATTAAATCATCAACAGAACTGCAGCCCAGCAGAGACACAATAACAGGAACACCTTAAAATCCAACGCAAACACCTCAACAACACAAAAACACTAAACTTTACCACCTGAACACAGGCATGACAGGTGTTTCTATTAATGTGTCCACCTCCTGTACATCGGGAGGTTTCATAAACATGCTGCTAAAATCTTGCAGTTGAAACATTTAAAATAGTTTTGATACCTTCAGATGTTGAGTTGAAATGACACTGTGAGGCTGTAGAAAGTTACAATCAATGAATTTTGTTCCTAAAGGACTGAAGGGAGTTGAAGTCGGTCAGGAAGGAAGGAAGGAAGGAAGGATGGAAGGATGGAAGGAAGGATGGATAAGACTGAACTGTCTCATTTCTTGGTGTTTTCTGTTCTGTTTTTTCTCTTTTCACAGTCTCTTTCCACTTTCCAACACAGTGCATGCTGGGATACGCTCCGGGCTTCACTCAGTGACACTTGAACAATTTGGTTCGTTGCGACCATATTTGGACAAGAGGGTGCAGCTAGCTAATTTGGCTAGCAAGGGGCATCCGTAGTTCACGTTAACTGCGATATTATTGGGATGCAAATTTCCGTCTAGTGAAAAACAGGCTTAAAACATTACAGGAAAAACGGGCAACACATTAGAGTTCCTTTTAGTTCAACCGAATGCTGAACGAGATATTTCTAGCCGACCAAAATGTTCCAGTTAACTTCCATGAACCGAAAGCACACTGTGAAAGGGTCAAAGCTCTGAGACAAAAACTCAGACAGCACGCAAAAACAAGTTCACGGCTCGTTTAACACAGAGGTCACAAGGTAGTCCATGTACAAACCTCCATGACAATCCATCCAGTGGATGCTGAACAAGCGGTCACTGATCTAAATAAAAACTCTTCAGTCTCAGCTGTGGAGTTCAAAATGACGACGGAAACAGATTTGATGACACTGCAGGACTTCCTCCTCTTTTTGTTTGTTCTCCAGTGTTGCAGATGCAGCGTTGGGTATTTCTGCCCTCGACTCTTGACTGCAGGTCACTGATACGGAGCGCCTTGTTCCTGCTCTGATCCTGTCACTGACTCAGAGTTTAACAATGACCTCAGAGTGAAACAAAAACTGAGGAAACACAGCTGAGAAATCCCCAAATACATCAGCCTGTTTCCCATCAGCCCCTCTGTCTCTACCTGTCTGCCACACTTCCTGTATGTATATCTCAGTTCAATTCAGGTCAATGAAGGTTTACTGATATGATCAAAAAACGTAAAATGTTGCCACAGAATAAACCTAGCAACGAGAATAATAAATACACAGGATTATAGGGAGTGATTTGATTTATTTGTCTATTATTAACTCTAATCCGCATTAGTTGTTACATTAGTAAGCTTGTTTACATGCACAGTTCATGCACAGGTCTCTCAAATTACATGGCAGTTAGTAAAACAACAAATATGCTGGTAAATGATGTACTGATGATCAACACTCGGAGATGAAGGGGATGTCTGTCCATCGCCTTGCAGAGCATACAGGGTAAATAAAGTGCTAACTTCTAGTAAATAGAGTTATAGGAGTGATTGCACCTCAGGTGTTGGAGGGTACGACGGCATGTGTTTTAAAAACGTTTAAAAAGCCTTTAGTGTCTCAGGGGGAGCTGTGCGAAGCCTCATACCTGTCCTCAAGTGATGTCACTTGAGTCAGCGTCGGCTGAAGACTGCCTCTTTAAAACTGAAAGAAATCTGTTGGTGTGGAGTTAGAAAGAGTTGAGCTCATATACCTCTGTAGCTCGCTGCTCGTCTCTGCTGCAGGCTGCGTTTAGCCTACAAGTATAACACACCGCAGTCTAATCAAAAACTGCTGCACTAACCGGAAACGACTATTGCGAGATTGCACAATCCCCCCAGCACAGAGGCCGCCTGCAGAGCTCCAAAATAACAGCCATAATAATAATAATAATAATAAAAACCAGTCCCCTTTTCATACTATTTCTGTTTATTTATTTATTTCACAAGCCTAGAATTTTCTGTACATCACGAACCAGATGTCTCTTCTTTTAATTTAAACTACTCAGCAGTACGAACACTTAAACTATCTTACAGCTGTGTTTTCCTCTGCCGGAGCAGAGGGTTCTGTGCGTGGACAGCTAGCCAGCCTTTTTGGCTTCCCCCGTCGCCACTTGCGGAGCTTCTCAACTCCGAAAACGTTGGAGCACATTTTTAATCAAAACTCAATAATCGACATCTGCACATTTGATTTCTCACCTCAAAACTTCTCAGAGGTGGATTTAGTGATGAAATAATGTACGAAACTTGTAGAAGACGTTCTGTTGTCGGCCGTTGCCTCTGCTGGTTCCCGCTTCTCTTGTGTTGTTGGTTCCGCCCCTTCCGCTACGCAGCTAAAATGGCGGTCGTTGAGGGTGAGAAGTGTCCACCGTTCCACCGTTATGAGTGCGCCATCCGAGTACTCAGTTCTGCATTTTTCCGTACTTCTCTGTGTGAACACACTTATGCCCTCAAAATAGTAAGTGTAAGTATGAAAGAGCGCAAATTTAGACACAGCACAGGAAACTAGTGTGCGTGTAAAGATAAAGTCTGTACAATAGACGGTGCAAAAAAAGTGGGTATAGTCACTGTGACGTTACCAGTCACATTTTGAAGCCTCCAGTTTGGCACTTTGGCACTTTGGCCTTTGCCATCTTGTTGTTTTGGAACCAGATGTGACCATATTTGGGCGGGAGGGTGGAGCTAGCTAGCTTGGTTAGCAGGGTGCATCTGTAATTCACGTTAACTGGGATGCTAATTTTGGCTTAAAACAACTCCCTATGGCGCCGGTTAAATGTACGCATTGCTGTGGATATGAGTCGCCACTATCCTGATTGACAGGTCACCATGGTAGAGACTTGTCAATCAGCTTGTAGCCCCGCCCTAAAGCCTCCCCTGCTTCCTGGTCTCTGTTCCTCTAAATGGGACCATAATTTACTAAATGAACATCACGCTGTGTTGAAGAAGACTTGAAACTAGCGGCTGAGACCAGAAACTCATCAGTTTACTGGGGTACATTTTCTAAAAGACTTCTACTTCCAGCCCTCGCTCTCTCTCTATTACAGGCGTCATTTCATCTTCACCTGTGTGTTTCAGACGTCCAGCAGCTGCAGCGTGGCGACCCGAACCGCGAACAGAACGACCACCAGGCGTCCACCAGCGCGCTGTATGACTCAAACAACCAGCGCAACTCCAGCCACCCCGCCCTGGACCCAGGCCACGTCCATAACCCCCATCACACACCACATCACGCTGCCGACACGCACCACCACCACCAGCAGGAGGAACACCACCTTCCTGGTGAGTTTTGGTCTATACTGTTATTAACTGACCGTTCGCTAAGCCACGCCCCAAATACGCAGCTGGCCAATCACAGTGCAGTATATGTCTCAATCTTTTGCTTTCTTTTGCTGTATTTTTCCAAAGTATATATATATATATATATATATATATATATATATATATATATATATATATAAATCTTTACGCTCACTTGAGCTGGTTTTTGCCTTTGTCGAAAAAGACTATGCGCTAAGATGGAAACACTTTTTCTGAATAAGTTCTTACGTAGCAAACTTGTAACTCACGTCTGATCAGCTGTTTCTGCTGGCGGCGTCTTGCCCGGTTGTGCAGAGCTCTGCACGCCTGCCCTCGCGGCTGGTAACGCTCATTTGTGCTGGGAAGAGGTGGATGCAAATCTGGGCAGGCAGCCTTCATCATCTGTTCTGCTGAATTATGCATCCACCTCTTTGCTCTGCATAATGATCAAACTGTGTTATCACCGCATATTTTTGCTGAATCTCAATGAATGCTACTAAATGTTCATAAAATATATACTTCAAATCATTTATCACCGCTGATGAACCCCACAAAGGATATTAGAGCGTTTAAAAGCATTATTTGGAGGTGCATGCTGTTCTCGGCATAACACCGGATATTCCCATAACGTGAGGACCTCTCTCCATTTTCCTAAGATCAGTGGCCCTCCGGTTCATGCGACTGGTTTTGTTTCTGGTTTGGAACCCGTATGTCTTGTTTATTACAACCATGTGTAACGTTAGTTAGCTAACACTAGCTAACGTCCTACTGAATGTAGCGTAATAAAGTCCTGCTGTTCTGCTTTTTAATGATTGTAATAGTGAACAGAAGCCTACCCAGCTGTACAGGAACACTGTTGATATCGTTGTCTTTTGTCTCAGTCGTCGGGGAATGCGGTGGTTCACTTGTACTGTGTGACTGGTAGGCTTTAGCTTCTCTTTCATTTTTTTCACGTCCGTACGAGTCAGTCTGACAGCCTGAATACAACCTTTAAATGCACAATGCAACTGCAAAACTGTCTGATTCTTTCTGAGATCGCTTTTTCCAAAAATTAGACAATATTTCTCCGGGGAGTGCAGTAACAGACAGTGGCCGCGCCGTGTCAAAGGTCCGTCAGGCAACAGTAAGTAAGGGGGGCGTGGCTTAGCGAAGGGTCAATGCCACCTGTGCTTTTCCTGCTTTGACAAGTCAAACTCTCTGCTGTGAAAAGAGTCTGATGTGGGAAACTAAACTAGTTACCACTCAGCAGTCGGTGTTGGACGTTGCAGTCAATCAGCTGCTGATCTCTTCACACAACGTAAGAATCTGTAAGGTGTGTGTGTGTGTGTGTGTGGTAATAATCCTTATGTCTCATTCGCATCCTATGAGGTAACCATAATGCTGAACCACACACACACACACACACACGAGAGACAGAAGAAAGAGAGGATTTCCTGTGGAGGAAGTGTGTGTATGTGTATAAGATGGTTGCTGACACTATATTATACCTCCTGTGTCACCGGACCAGCATGCGCATTACATCACACACACAGAAACTTCCTCCGTCCGTCATGTTCCCACAGTGCTCTGTTCTCTCTGACCTTTGACCTCACTGACCAGCCAGCATTATGTCATCAACAGCTCCATGTGTGGAAACACTTCTGTAAAGTAAGAATGCCTTCAAAAATAAGCATATCATAGATTGTGTGTATCTATTAACAAAATGGAGTGAGTGAGCTAAAGAAAAAGGTGTGAGCACCCTCTGTTGCAAACTGGACACCGATCAGCCGTAACATTATGACCACTGAAAATCTGTGAACCGAGTCAGGATCATGAGCGGCCAAGGCTCACTGATGCACGTGGGGAGGGAAGGCTAACCCGTGTGGTCCGATCCGACAGAACACGCAGGCACAGATTCAGTCCATGCCTTGACGGGTCAGGACTGTGTTGGCGGCAAAAGAGAGACCTATATTATGACCCGCAGTTGGTCATAATGTTATGGCTGATCGTGTACAGTTTCACCCAGCAAGGTTCACCCAGGATAGCGTTGCGGTCTTCGTCCTCAAACCCATTGTTCTTGTGAAAGCAAATCGTACAGTTTGAAAATACAAACTATAACTCAAGTCATAGGCGTCATTTACCCTGGGGACGCTGGGGACATGTCCCCACCACTTTTTTTAAAGCATAATTTGTTAAACAACGCTCTGATATATAGCTTGCTGTTAAATAACAAATGAAAATGCCTTTAGAAAGGTTTATTTGCACATTAAGAAAACAAATGCAATGCAATTAAAATATAGAAGAAACAATGTGCATAGTCCAAAAAAGAGCTTAGGTTAAAAAAAAACAAGCTACGGATTATAAAAGGACCCAAAAATGTGCAGCCCGATCAGTAACTTAAACAACTTCTTGACACAGTTTCTTGTTGGCCAAGTTTTCCGTTCTCTAACCTTTGAACATGACAAAAGAGGAGGGAAGACTAAATCCTGCCTACGTGTGTGTGTTGCCTCAGCAGGGATGATGTTACATGAGAAAAGTTGATCTGCAGGAAAAACAGATCTGAAAGCAGCACAGAATGACTGAGAGCTGCACTTATATTCTATTATATTTATATATTTGAAAATGTCACCTGCCACCTGAATTATGTGTTTCCTTTTACATAAATAAAAACATTTCCACCATAAATTGGTGCAGAAACTTTCACCAGAATGCAGGAAAGTTAGTGTTTAAAGGTCCTCCAGACCCCCCTCAAATAGCGTGGCATTGAGGATATCTTTAAAACACTGTTTAAGGATCTTTTCGTTTCGTTCTGGTGAACCTAACATCGTGTATCGGGATGTTTCGTGAGCTAAGTGTCTCTTCACTGTGACAGTGATGTCCGTTCGGATCGAGGCTTCGAAGCGTGTGTCGAGTAATCCAGGATGATTTTTGTGAAGCGCGCATCGAGGCAAAACAGAGGACATTTTAGCTGAGTAAGACTAGCGGCAGCAAGAAAGTGCTGGGTTGTTTTTGTAAGAATTAAACTGGGGGCTCTTACCCCATATTACCCTAATAATAATTTTCTGAAGCAGGTAAAATCATCTCCAAAAAAAAGAAACCACCACTGTGGAAAAGTTATTTTACATAAAAATGAATAAAAAGTCACAAATGAATAAAAAGTCACAAACCAGAGTAACACAAGCACATTCACATCATAACCCTCTCGCTTGTTTCCACTTTCCCTTTTGAGCTTTAGTTTCTGTTGCACATTGACAGCGCAGAGTTAGCATCACGCATTTAGCCACCAAGTGCATGTTTAAGAGCTTTTAGCAGTTCTAGCTACAGCTGATGCTTTTACTTCTGTCTGAAATCAAAAAGTTATTTAGGACGGGCATAGAAGCAGCAGGGAACAACATCAGACCAGCTTGGAGGCTTTTCTTTGATTAAACCTTTATTTACAAAGAGGTTTAAGAACAGTCGCACAGAACACAAGTCAAACATCAGGTGATCTGATGATTATTGCGAAAGCTTCATCCTCCTCAGCGTTCCTGTGCCGGCTGCGTGTTGTCTCTGTTTCCCCACGTGGCTCATTAAAGTGTCGTCTTACCTTTTTAATTGTGACATTTACAACAAAACGTCAGAAGAAGCAAACAGCAGCTCGCTCGTGCAACAGACGATGTTTTGTCCGAACAGGAAGCGGACTCTGGCTCGGCTCCGTAAATCACGCCGACAGTCATTAGATGGAAACGCTGCCAGCTGACGGGTGTGTTGGGTTTCAACCTCCAAACGCTCCCGCAGCTGGAGCCTGAAGTGACCTGGAACTTCCCACTGTACCCTGACCTTTGACCTCTCGGTACCCCGCAGCATGTGTGGAGAGAGTTTGGTTTGTCGTAATGAAAACAGGTTGTGAGGCTGAGGTCGCTGTGTGTGTCTGGACTGTGTCTCTAGAGGAGAGTGACAGCAGTGACCTGAGGCAAACACACACTCCTGGTTGCATTTCTGTCCCTGTGAGGACTCTTTATACATTCCTTACGCCAGCCTCTAACCCTAAACACAACCAAAACCTCACATTAACCCTGAAACCAGGTCTGAACCTCCAAACCTTTGAGAAAGTCTCAGAATCTGCCAGAAAACAGTATTTTGTCCAGTTTCCAGGAAGTTGCTTTGTTTTTATTGGGGAAAAACTGTCCTGCTGCTACAGACAAATGGTTTGTAAATGGATTTAAACGCGTTCTCCCTCCCTGACTCGTCACATATGGACGCATGGTCAAGATCCTTCGGCGTCAGTTTGTAACGCGCTGGGGATCCCGATAGCGTCACAGTTCAACGCAGTGGGGGAAGCCCTGTAGCTTCAGTTTTTGACGGTAAAGGCAGGTATATGATATTTAACAGTAAAGACAGAGTAACGGAGGGGGTTGAGGTGGATGGAGGGCCAGAACCTGGACCGGGGTTCGTGTCCCGTGTGAAACAAAGAGTCAACATTAAATATTTTTGTTGAAGTTAAGGGTTAGACGTAAGTTAACTTACGTTTTAACTGATGTACGTAGTTATTTTAACACAAACCATGATCTCTTCCTGACCTTAACCAAGTACTTTTTGTGCCTAAACCCAAATTGCAACGTTTCACAACTTAAATAACGTGCCATTTCAAAATGCCCCTGTTTTTAAAAAAGTTTTATTTTGATAGTCTAACCGGACGTTGCATATTTGTTGTTGCTAACTGTTGCTGCTAAACTTGACTGCAGACCCTTAAACGTTTAAAAATTATGCTAAAGTGGTACCCGGGACGTTAAAAAGTGACGCCAAGCGTCAGTATGTGACGGGTCAGGAGTGAGAATGTGTTTTCTATTCAGCAAAAAGCAGTGCGCTACACAGCTGTAGCCTATTTAACTCAAGTTAAAAGTATAGGCTACATAACTTTACCTGGTAGGCTTTACCTGGGGACGCTCTGCCGTGTGAATTCCCTCCTGTTGATGTCCTGTTTAGTCAAACAGTAATAGATTCTGGAAACTCACAAACAGCGAGGATCAGTCTCTCCTCCAGTGATTTGTGCTGCGCGTTGCGTCCAAAAAGTTAAAGACAATTCAACTTCAGCGGGCGTGTGCGTGAGGCGAGGCAAATAGCTTTGGTTTAATATTTGATTTGATTACATTAATGTATAATAATATTTTATTGCTACTGTGTAAAGGGAATACTGCTGGGAAAAAGCATGCAAACCACATGTTATTGCACATTTGTGTATATAGCAGTACATTCAAATTAAAAGTGAGCAATACAGTGCTTTAGAATTAAATTAATCGCAGAAAATCATGCGATTAGTCGCGATTAATAATCTTAATCGTTCCCCAGCACTAATAAGAACCAATCAGAAGCATCAGAACAGCATCAAACTTTACTAAACAGCTGGAAATGACGACTTTGTGCACATGAAAACCATGCAAAGCAACAAAATGAATATTATTATTCATTATATATATTATTCAACATAAAGCCGAGCTTTTTACAGAAATTATTCAGATTTAACTCCCAGTGTAATCAGAAACATTTTCCTAATTGTAACAGATTAGAGTTACATTTATTTTGTACTTAAATTAACTAAATTACTTGTAAGTGGCTGTCCAATCATCATTTTAATTTGTTTAAAGTAAAGTTCTGTTTTATACTCGATGACTGTGTCATGGCTTGTATCTCCTGTGTCTGCTGAAGTCAGAGATACCTGGATACAGGTAGGAGAAGGATGTGTTTGGGCAGTTGCACCCACAGAATCGAAGCTGCTGAAGATTAAAAAGATTTTTCAGTTGAAGTAGTTTCTCGGTTAGCAACATGTCTCAGGAAGCAGATGTGATTGATATCTGGGGGATGGCGCTCTGTTCTTTGCGTTCAGCTCCTACTTTCTCATCTCTCTGGATTAGTGAGGCCGATAAATGGCAGGAAACGTAAGCACAGTTGGGTTTGTTTCAGAAATAACAACAACAGGCCGGATCAGATGGATCCACTGAGCCCTGAGGCGTCTCAGGCCCCCGATGAATGAGGTCCAGCTGGAGGACCGGCAGCACCCTGCGGTCCGTGTGTGTTCTGGCTTCACTCCGTCCGTCTCTGCAGAACCAACAGAAACAAACTCATCTAATCTCTCTGCATTTCAACACAGTATTTGACCGTGAAGCCTCAGAATCTCCTGACTGGCCCCTCTGTGCTTCAGCAGCATCAACATCGGTGTTTTCAGAGGGCAGGAGAGGAAGCAGGCTCAGAGCCGTTTCAGCCGTTTGTGTTTCCCTACTGGGTTGTTTTCCAGGCTGCGCTGTGTTTATATTCCAGTTTGGAAACTGGTTCAGTTTTAGAGCGGAGCCCCCAGAGAGCCATTAGTGTGTGTGTTGTTAGCTTAAATTAGCTTGTGTTTAGGGAGGGAGTGTCGTGGGTGTAAGGAATCTTTGTGTGATCTTGTTTTTATTTTAGAGACTAAAAATGTCAAAATCTGGTTCAGATAATCTTATTTCCCAGAGGAAGAGTGCAAATAACTTCATGTTTTCATCTAGCGCCACCGACAGGTCAGAACCTCACACTAACAGAGCGTGCTAACATGCTAACTGGCTGCATGACTCTGGGGGCTTCAACAGTTTTAATTCTTCTGGTGCTGACTTTAAGTATTGAAGTTCTGTAATGAGGTCATTCTGTCTTTTAGTCATCAGTCACACATATTTGCTGGTAAAAATGAAACGTGGGAACCTGAAAATTGCTTTTGGAGTCCGTATGTCTTTGAGGGCCAACCTTTTGATCAGGTGATCAGGACCACCACACTCGTATCAGAAAGGCGTCAGTCTGCTGCAGTATTTAAAATCTGCTGAGGACTGTTTATAAGTGAACTAAATAACAATAATGAAAGCAGTAAGGCTGCTGGGTTTGTCTCAGATTGAATGCCAGAGCGTCGCCATGTTGACTCCATCAGATGCTCCGAAACAATGAACCATTCTCAACACAGCTGCTTCACAGCGATTCTCTACTTTGTTTCAGAGAATCTGCTCTGTGAGCAGCAGAAGGGGAAATGTTGTCTTTCTGCTGCCCGTGAGAAACCTGGAGCACCAAAGGGGGGCGGCTCCAAGGGATGTAAAACCTCTCTCATGGAAATTGTTTTGAATCATAACTGATTGAGCGTTTGTGTTCAGCTGTAGATGGGGTGGACGCCGCTGCCGCCTTCCCGTACCCGCAAGCCCCCGCTGCCCTCCCCGTTCCCCACATGATGGCCCTGGTCATGTCCCAGCTGCAGCCGGTCCTGGAGGGTTTCAACCGCTCACTGGAGCACCTGAGCCGGCAGGTAGGGGACCTGGCCCGTGACGTGGCCCAGCTGAAGAGCAGCCAGCTGAGTGCGGAGGCGGAGCTGCAGGCAGGGCCCGCGGACGGCCCCGACGAGCTTGACGAGGCAACGGAGGAGCGCTTGGATACCAAACTGCATGAGGTGTCTGAGCAGGTCAGGGAGGTCCGGAGGCAGATGGAGAACCAGCGGGCAGACATGGAGTACAGGCTGCACTCCCAGCATGCAATGCTGCACTACAACCTCACCAGCTTTAAGACGGACATCGACATGAAGCTGAAACGCCACAACAAGATGCTGCAGGTCAGTGGACAACTGGATGATTTTGACTTTAGATGATGATTAATCATTTAATCTTGTCTTTCAATCAAAAGAGAGAAATATTAACAGCAGAAAAGTATTTTCTTTTACATTTTGATATTTTGTGTCTGATCCTAGGTCAGCCTGCAGGCCATGAACGCCACGCTGGCTGAGCTGAAGCTGGAACAGGATCAGACCCCTGAGGATCAGCTGGAGCACCACCTCCCTCCTCCCACTCAGTCTCCCCCCCGCCTGCCGCCGCCGCAGCCCTCAGACACCTCGGCGCTCTGGGAGGCCATCGAACGCCTGGACAACATGGTGGTCAACAACACAGTGAAGGTGCGTTGAACCAAAACATATTTATTACTTCTGGACAGACATGACCCTGTTTACAGTCACCGTCAGCAGTGATGTGAACTCTGCAGATAGTCCTGTTAACTAGCGCCCCCCAGAGGCTGCAGCGTTCATTACAGTCACTTCTGTAAAGGGTTGTCAGTAGTGGAGCTAAAAAAAGAACCAGGATGTGTAAAATCTACCTGTTAGATTTTAATATTTCTTCTGTATAAGTAGACATCTGGAGGAGGCGTGGAGGCAGTAAAGGAAATGGGGGGTCAGACAAAATGTCAGGATTCACGGGGATCATTGCAGCCCCCCAAAGAAGATGTTTGCACAAAATGTCAGATAATACTGTATGTTGTCTGCGCAAGAAAATAATTTAACATCTCAAGATAATGGAGATAAAAATATAGAATCTGTTAGGACATGATGAAGACAGCAGTATGTTTGTCTGTCTCTGGACTAAAGTGTTGGACATCTAGACCTCCTCACTAAACACGATGAGTGAGTCAACATTGAGCAGCACAGAGACAAAAGGTTATTTATCTCTGGAGAAAGACGCGCATGAGGCAGCAAAGTATGTTTCTTATTTCAAAACAAGGCGCTGCAGGTGAAAATGAAAAAATTGGCTGGACACATTAAACGTTTATTCATCTTCACCAAGTATAAAACTTTACATAATAATAATAAACTTTATTTATAGAGTACCTTTCACACAAGAAATGCTGCTCAAAGTGCTTCACGTAAAAATTCAGTTTTATTAAAACAAGTGTGCGAACTGCTTCCTAAAACCTGGGGTGACAAACAGCCTGAGCATCTGGACTGAACTCGCTTAAACCTGCAGAGGCCTTTTATTCATGTTTGATGCTTTAGACTCACACAGGAAATCAAACAGGATACCGACTGATGCCAAGAAATAATTTAACATACAGCGTGAAGTTAAAACTAAACTACACCAATAAGGTTCATTAGTATTTCATTTCTGCAAAAATATGTATATCAGGCTTCGTGGACATGTTGCTCAATGATGTCTACATTTAATGCAGCACTTCTGCACGAAAGTGTAAGAGTTAATAAATAACACGAAGGCTTGTTGGACTTTTACATGAATGTCCCTGTGCTGCTGCTTTTAAAGCACAAACACAGAGAAAACTTCAGAATCAGATCCTTCCATATCCATTTATAAGTTCTTAAAATATGCAAATAAATACCATGAAGCGAATCTGACCCGGAGGCTCAACACGCGGCTATTTGGTGATTTTAATGATTTAATTTTTGTGTGACGAGACAAACATCTAAACAATAGAAGCATAGTCAGATTAACCTGCTAGAGGCCATCATACTGTACTGTATTCAATAACCAAGGTTTTCTTAGCACATCTTGTAAAATAGCTTTGAATAAAAGGAAAATCCTCCTCCACGTGACTTTCTTCATTGTTAGGTAGGAGTGTGACGACATATTAAAATGTTACGATATTTCTCCGTGGGGTGAAAAGGTGTTTCGTAATAGTGCGACGGAGTGTGAGGGTGAAATTAGCACTTTTAAATCGTTTATGTGGCAGCATTTTGGGGACCAGGTAGAAACAATAAGTGACAGACAAGACACAAAATGAGTGTGTAGCAACATTTCAAAATGCACCTGCATTGTTTTGCATTTTGTAACTTTTTTCCCAGCCATATATTTCATCATTAAATCTTTCTTAAAAATAGTGTGTAGTCCCGTGAGCTCTGTGTATCAACACACCCCTAACATTAGGTGATACAAGTGCACCTTATAAATAAAATAAGAATAAGAAAATAAATGAAGGGAGACTGTAAAAGAAAAAAAGGTTTAAAGGTCTCTTAATTCCGTGTTGTTGTGCAGCTCGGCGGGCTGATGGAGGACGTGGAGGTGACCTCGGGGAATGTCCAGCAGCTGAAGCGGAACTATAAGGAGCTCGAGAAGCAGATCAATAGCACGGCCCGGACCAGTCAGGTCCAGTTCATGGAAACAGGGCTGGAGGTGGAGGCGGCGAGGGAGGTGGTGCTGAGGCAGGTGGGCGAGCTGGCGGGGAACCTGAGTCAGCAGGACCAACGGCTGCAGGACATGGAAGACGACATGGACAATCTGTACATCGCCCTCAACAAGCACAACACCGGGGACTGCGACTGCAAGGGGCTGATGGCCGCCGTGGCGCGACTGGAGAGGGGCGTGGCCAATGTGACAGAGCTGACCAACGAGAACCGATTAGCCCTGGAGAACAGCGAGGGAGGGGAGGGGCAGTGGGCCGGGGCCAGCGACTGGGAGCCGGCAGTGGAGACGCTCCAATATGGCCTCCAGCAGGTATGAAAGATGAAACGTTAAAACAGTTTTCTAGTAGAGACTCATTTTGTATTCAAATTCTTTTTGAACAGACAGGAAGTCAAAGTACTGAGACGGACTGACACGCTGCGAGTTTGAGTCTGAACATGAGATTTGTTGACAGGCAGAAAACTAGGGGAGACCGGGGGCAATTGTGACATCTCAAATTGCACCAATCAGAAACGAGACAGAACCATGAAACTCATCATGTGGCCATCACTGGAGACAAACTTGTCAACGTTTTTAAGACTTATTTTTGAGCTATGCAACTAGTTATTTTCATCTATAGTATTTTTCTGATGCTGATACGCTGATTCAGTCTTTTTTTGATGACCATTCTGTTGTATAATATTTGATGTCTTTGTCAAATATTAGCTTTTTCAATTAGGTAACACTGTGTTACAATTAACCCCTGAATCATGTAAAATAGTGTCCAGCTTAGAAAGAACATCAATATATATATATGTATTTTTTTTTCTGATAATTTTCAGAAAAGTGTTTGTGGTCAGTTTAAATATCCGGTGTATATTCTATATAATGTGTGTTTTGCAGCATAGTCCAATTGTTACATCTTTTGGCCATTTCATTCTGGGGACCGGGGTTCAATTCCCACTAAGAGCCATTTGCTCATGCTTTCAGTATCTTCAATGTCTCACGAAGTCGTCTTAACTTTAAATACTGTAATAATAATATTATATCAACATATATTCATCAAGAGATCAACATTCTTTTGATTTTTAGTTTGTAGTGTTGAAGCTCAATCTAGAAAATAATAGACGATACTATCTTTCTAATAATGTCAGAAAAGTTTTCAGTTTAAACCTTTGTCTGTACGAAACCCTCGGTAGGGCTGACCCCGAAACAGTCGAAGCTTCGATGGGCGGAGCCTGATTCGACTGTCAGTCTCACAGTCGAAGCTTCGCAGCGAAACGAGGATCATTTTCATATTTTTGTTTTTAAACAGCCGGCTACTTGAAATAGACCAGCGAGGAACCGCGACGTGCATGCAGTTGTCGGCAGCACGGCAGCTTTGCAGCTTCTCAAGATTAATGGGCGCTACTGTGTGTAACCCCCCCCCCCAATCGCTTCGCACAAAAACACACCTGATTCGACTATATACATCCTTAGTCGGGGACAGCCCTAATCTTTGGGATTTATATGAAGGAATTATGTGTGTTTGCCTCTGCACGTGGGGGCAGACGTAACATTTCACATCAATACTGTGATTTTAACATTGCTTGTAAAAAAAAAAAGTGATGACTGTTAAGAAGTAAAACACAAACACACCTCTAAAAAAATTGTATCCAGCTAGTTCCAGAAGTTCTTCAGCTATGACAAAGAAACCAAAAATTGTTACAATTGCCCCCGGTCTCCCCTGTATAATACACTACACTTATCTTTAAGTGAAACTACATCGCCCTCCTCCTGCAGGTGAAGGAGTCTCTGAACACGGAGCAGACCAGGACCGGGGCCCTGAACCGCAGCCTGTCCCAGCTGAGCAGCTCGTGGCGGTGGGTCTGGCCGAGGTCTCCGGGCTGAAGGAGACCGACAGGCGGCTGTTGGCGGAGATGCAGCACCTGTCCGGCTCCTTTAACTCTCTGCTGAAAGACGCCATCCGACACAGCGACGTGCTGGAGCTGCTGCTCGGGGAGGAGGTGCTGGAGTTCCTGGAGTGGCCCGTCCAGGACCAGGAGCCCACTCCATCCCGGCCCTGAAGGAGCAGCTGAGGCACCTGCAGGAGCAGCTGAGAGGACACAACCTGAGCATCACGTCCCTGCTGGGCAACAGGCCAGGTACGAAGCACCTGCACGTTCTCACAGGGGTGGAAATAAAGTACTTTTACTCAGGGTAGTAGGAGTGTTTTCACTTTTTACTACATTTATTTGCTAATTTTATTCGTTGCTTTGCGTATTTAGATTATTAATCCAAAATAGTATCAACAAATAAATGATGCCGCTGTATAATAAAAAAATTCAAGTATTTGGCAGTAAATAAAGGAATTAAAATGAGTTCCAGCTTCATCAGCTGCTACACTAAAGTGATTTTAATAATATAATTAATATTCTGAAATGCTCACAATGACTACTTTGGTACTTTAACTACATTTTGATGCTGATATCTTTGTGGATTTACTTTGGTATTACTACTTTTACTTGAGTAAAAGATGTGAGTGCTTCCACCACCACTGCATTTTGATAAATCACTGTGAGTCCAGACAGTTTGTGACGGAGTGGAAACGAGTTTTGCAATATAAACATCTAAAATCTGGAGCCAGCCTCGCTCTGTTTGGGACTGTGAGCTGCTGAAGTTAACCTCTCTGCGGAGTTGTGGTGAGATTTCTGTCTGATCACAAGTGTTTTCAGTTAGTTTTGGTTTCCACCTCCTTCCGCCTCATCAACATGCAGTCCCACACTGATCACATCTGCAGGGCAAAATAATAAATAACTGTTTTCCTTGTTGCTGAATCCAAAACAGTCTTTAGTGAATTTAGTTGCTGTCACAAGAAGTGAAGTACTTTTGAAACTAGGTACTTTTGAGGAACAAGTACAAACGATAGTCAGTATGTTGGACACGACTGCGCTGTAAAGGATGGAGGACAAAATCCTCCATCCTCTCTGTCTGTGTTGCCGATCTTTGGATTCGGGACATGGCCGGTGTTTACTGGCTGTTGCAAAAAGGTTTGTATGTTTTGTAATCCCATGCAATATGGATTATATAAATATCGTCTTAGCATACCGAGTCTGCAGTTTGCATGCAAACATCAGCAGGACACGATCCAGTACTGGAGCCAGTGCATCTTAACCAAACAGCAGCTTTCTGAATTTTAGCTGGATGTTTAACTTTCTCCATCTCCGTGCGCACGTAGATACGTTTGTGTATTTTAACACCAGTATACCAACAACATGCCACAGAACATCACTCTCTCTCTGTCATCTTGGTAAATATTTCATTTTCCATATTTGCTGTGGTTACTCCATTTTAACACCGACTGACCTTCAGACCAGCTGATGGGCCCAGTCGTTCTGTCCTCAGGTCCAGACTAACCTACCTGCAGACCACAGTGTTGTTGCTTTCATGGGGTTTTTAGACAAAGGGAACAGGAAGTGAAATATTATGACCATTGGCGATTTGATTCATTTGGAGGGCACAAAATTCTGCTGCAGGGAAAAAAAGTATTTTGACAGCTGGTGAGCTCTGAAGAAACACTTCCTGAGGGTTGGTTGTTTTATGCACCAATAAAAGTAAACCGCCACAGTGTTTTGAGAATGTTTGATTGAAGCAGCGAGAGGAGACAGTAGATGAGGGACATCTTAAACCCCGTGGCCCCCAGGTCAGGTTTTCTTACACTGAGTGTCATTTTTGCTCCCAGGAGCCAGAGAGGAGGTTCCATCTGCTGACCAGCCCTCCTCCCACCTCCTCACTGACGACTGGCTCCCGACTGGCAGCGTGAGGAGGAGCAGCAGCGGAGTAGCATCCAGGGAGCGTCAGGTCCTCCTCCAGCCCGAGGGGAGGCGTCCGGAGCACGGAGGAGACGGCAGCGATCTGTGGAACCTGGAGAGAGCCGTGGAGGAGCTGGAGCTGAAGGTGCTCCGGCTGGAGGAGAAACTCAGCAACACTTCTGCAGAGAGAGAGGCGGCGGCCGGCGGCGTGGAAGCCAAACTGCAGGCGGAGGTGAAGTGGCTGAAGAGAGGGCTGGAGGAACATCTGAGGGTGTTCAAGAACGTCTTCAGTAATGCTGAAGTGCTGGCGGGATCTGACGCCACGCTGGAGCTCGATAAACTGTGGCAGCTGGTGAAGGACAAAGACGGGAAGAAAGAGAAGAAGAAGCGAGGAGGCGGAAACCATCGAAGCAGGAGGGAGTCATCAGGTGAGGTCGACTAAATAGCTGTTTCCAGCTGAGCAGCTGCAGCAAGTCTCTCAGTCTGAGTAGTCCTTGCCGAGGTCCAGGTGTTTTTTCTGGTTCCAGTCTCAATCAACAGACTCCTGACCCTGCTTTTCTCTCCAGGTGTTGCTCCTGTCCCGTCCAGCCTATCAGAGGCCGGATCCCCCCTGAGCGTCTCGACCGGCGTCATCGTGTTAGAAGCATCTCTGAACCGGGGTCAGTTTTTCTCCGACGCCGGCACCTTCACGGCTCCCGTGAGCGGGATCTACCTGTTCGTCCTCACCTTGGACCTGAGGCCGGGCCCCGCCCACGTGGTCCTGAGGAGGGGGTCTGGCGGGGGTCTGGCGTCTGTACACCGACAGGAGGCGGTGGAGCCGGGACCGGTCACCGGCGTGGGCCTCCTGCAGCTGAGCGAGGGGGAGGAGGTGCGGCTGGAACTGAAGGGAGGTGCGTGGGCGGAGTCAGAGGACAATGTGTTCACCGTGCTGCTGCTCCACCGGACCACCTGAGGGCGCTGTGGACCAATCAGCTGACAGCTGGAGGAAAGACGCTGATCAGAGACTCTGGGAGGGGCGGAGTCAGAATTTGTTTTAAAAATGAGAATTTAACATTCGCTGGATTCCAGCCGGTGGAGGCGTTAATCCAAAGCCCCTTACAGTATCACCGAGGTTTACTTGTGTTGCGTCCGGAGGGATTCAAACCCTCAAACCACCAGTCAGTTCTGATAAATCTGGGAACTGCAGGTCAGAGTCTGAGCTCCACAAACGTCTCAGGCTGGACCTCCAACTCGACAACAAGAAGAGGTCAAAAACACGCAAACCGAGATGAAACTGACCTTCAAGTGAAGACCCAAATTAAAGCAGGAGTTTCAGTGTCTTTGTGTTCAAACACAGCGCTGGAGCGAGGAAGTTAGCAGCCTAGCTTAGCATAAAGACTAGAAGCAGGTGGAAACAGCTAGCCTGGTGCAAACTACTAAAACACACCGACAAACCGTTGTTCGAACTGTAAGCTAACGCAGCAGTTTGTGGTTTTAGTGGGAGTTACTTTGATGCCCTGAACATCAAGCAGCATTTCCGTCATTGTTGGTTTGGTTTTCAGTCACTGCACCAACATGAAAACACTTCCAGCATGCAACTTCCCCTGAAACCACAAACTGAGGTTTAATCTGTACACTAACAGCAAAGCAGAGCAACACGTTAGTGATCTTGGTTGGTGGATGTTTTGCCACGGGGCAGAGCCAGGTTAGCGGTTTCCAGCCTTTATGCTAAGCTAGGCTAACCACGTCCTGACTCCTGCTCCAAAAACCCAAAGCAATGACGTTATTTAGTGAATCTCCAATCTGCTAACTTACAAAAAGAACCGTTACCACGATTAGTCACCAGTGCTCCTCAGTAAACCGCACAGACCGCTGCCCAGAGAAGTGGACCCACAATGCCTCGCTCTACTTGCAACACAACAAGCTTTCAGCCATCAAGAGTATTTGATTGATCCGGTTACTCAGCTCTGACAGGATGTGCCGTCGACCCTGCTGTGTCACTTTAACATTCTTTATCTTCAGAAAAAACCTGACCACAGACGTTTTCTGTGTGAAGAGGGGAAAAGGACAAAGTAGAAAGGTTCAAGTCTTTACGTCCTCTGTCTTTGAAGGGATTCTTTTTACTTTGCATACTGAAAATATTTTGTAAAGTCGCCTGTATCTGTAATGTTTGTAAAGTACCAGTATCGTTACGTAAACACACACAGAGCAGAATATATTTATCTAACAGCTGAGCCGCATGTTGGAGCAGAAGGTGAATGTGTTTATCTAAAGAGTCACCAGGCTGTAACTTAAAACAGTTTGTATGATGTTACAACACTGCAAACACACACGAGATTTATTTCCTGCTTTCTCTTATTTTTTCAGGGGTTTATGACGCATTAAACTCATATTATTATTATTTTATTTTGGGCGTCTACTGTTTTAATGTTAAAAACATTATCATACTGTCTATTGCTGCAGCACCTCTGGTAACCCTCTGACTCTGAAAAGTGAAGCCAACGCTGAAGTAACAAACCTGCATTCTCCTTTTCCTTTAGTGTTACAGTAACGTCAACAAGCAGGAACCTCCTGGTCTGTCGTAAACCTGCGTCCTCTCCAGCAGCCAGCAGGGGGCGACTCCAGCGGCTGCAGAAAGAAACTGTTTCCACTTGTCAGCTGATTTATTACCTCAGTAAACACTTTCCTGATGAGTTTATGGTCTCAGTCGCTAGTTTCAAGTCTTCTTCAACACAGCATGATGTTCATTTAGTAAATTATGGTCCCATTTAGAGGAACAGAGACCAGGAAGCAGGGGAGGCTTTAGGGCGGGGCTACCTTGTGGTTGACAAGTCGCTACCATGGTGACCAGTCAATCAGGATAGAGGCGACTCGTATCCGCTGCTGACAAAGCTTATTAGGAGGCGGCTGTAAATTCTGGTAAGTACATTTTGTTTAGAAATTTAGCATCCCAGCATTTTGGATGAACCTCGCTAACCAAGCTAGCTAGCGTAAAAACCAAGATGGCGACGGCCGCAATGCCAAGCTCGAACTACAAGTCCATCCATACAGTAACACAGAGTTAATGTTTTTGGGAATGGGTTTCATTCACTTTCTGAAATCAAACATCCTATCAGATGGGGGACGCTGGTGTCGGTTTACGGTTCAGTGATGTGAAAAAGGTTTGAGAACCACCTCCTTCGCCGACACAGACAACCAGTGCGAGCCAATCAGAGGCAGAGTTGCCGAAAATCTGGTGGAGAAAAAAAATATTGCAGCTGGCACAGCGCTGGCAGCACGCCATCATCAAAACAACTTGTGCCGTTTTCGCCGTTTTAAATCAGCCGATTTGATGCTGGGAGTATTGGTGGGCGCCATCTTCATTATTGCACAATACCCGGGAGCTTTGCCGTCTCTCGCTTTGGAACACAGGGTCTTTTTCGCCATTTGGTGGTGAGCTACATAAACATCCAATGACGGGTGTCGAATGAAAGGCCTGTTCGGATCGATTGATGCGTTTTAAAGATAACTCCCAATAAAGATCAACATTTAAAGAGTAAATATTGCCAAAATATGGACAGTCGCCTGGTGTACTCTGAAAATAACTGTTATATTTTAGTTGGTTTTCATCAAATTTACAGTTACAATTGCGTTCTAGGTGTATTAGGATATTCAGTTGCATTATCATCTATCTTATGATGGTTTATTGCATTAAAATATATAATATATTTTTCATCTCCATTTAGTCTGTAATGGTAAAATAAACATGTTAATTTACAATGGATTTATATTCCTTAGCTTTTCCTGGAAAAGGGTGACCAACAGGTGTGATTCTGTGTTGGACAGGACACTTTGCCTTTTTGTCACTGTACTTATCGTCCATGTGTTAGGTTTTTTCTTTTAAGCCAGAGCAGTTCGATTCTCTGAGCACCACGGGTGTCTTTTCCTAAGTCCTTATGAGGTGAAGATGTGAAGGTGGATACCTTCACATCTTCACCTCGAGGCATTTTTCCATCAAGGAAAAGTTGTTAGGAAAGGACACACGGCAAAGAATCTGAGCGCAGCTCTGGTGTAAGAAGTCAGTCTTGCAGTTACAACCAGACTTTTCAGATGAGGGCTGACTGGCGAGCTTTTCAGGATTACACCGGCACCACACGCAGGTACTCAGCACCACCTAGCGAACATTCACTGGTAGTTAATTTGTGAAGTTGTAGTCTTCCAGAATTTACATTTTCTTCATTTAGCTGATGCTTTTATCCAAAGCAACTTACAATTGCTGTGTATGTCAGAGGTCGCACGCCTCTGGACCAACGAGGGGTTAAGTGTCTTGCTCAGGGACACAATGGTGGACGGGTCGCAGTGCCTCATCAACACCGCAGGCTCAACAGCTACCAAAAGCTACTTTCCTACTAAAATAAGAATCAAGACAAAGACACAATGAACCTTTAAACATTTTAATCATCGTATCATCTCTGTTAAGTCTACAGTGTAGAAAAATAAGCATCAAAAATATACCCAAAAACAAAAAAACAAAATTAAATCTGGCGAAGCAAAAAGTCAAAAACACAAGTTCGACATGGTGAAAAAATAACTTCTCTTCACTTGAATCATCATCATCATCACTGTGAACTCAGGTCTGGTCTGAAAAACGTCAGAGATAAATTAAATTTATTTTGAAAAGAAGACTTCCTGCCAGGTGAGAGGTTGAATTTTGGTTTGGAGCGACGAAATGATCGAATCCTGTTCAGCTCCTCCGAGCTTTAAGCGTAATCTGCAGAGCGACGGCAGGTGAAAGGACTCAGACTTCAGACCAGACTTGGGTTTGTTTGCTTTAGCTCACCTAGAGCACCAGGCGGGCGGGGTCAGCCCCGGGTTCTTGGCAGTATAGGAAAGATCAACTCTGCAGAAGTCACATTCCTTCATCATCTAAAGTACAAAAACGAGCTCCTACGTGTAAAGAAGCGTCTCCCTGAACAACGGGAGAGATGTCAAAAGGAAACCGGCAACGAGCACATGAAAGAAATCTATCGTCAACACTTCTGAAGTGCACTAAAGTAGAGTTACATGCAGTCGAGTCGCTGCACTAAAACAGATCTGCATATATATCATGATTACGATAGAAGTACACCGACGTCGAGCGAATCTCTCAAGGCTATGATACGTCATGCTAAATATTAGCTGCAACTCTGTCAAAATAAAAGCTTTGTTAATAATCTAAATGCGCTCTGAGAAGACAGAAATCAGCCTCGTGTACAATATAAGAAGGCTCCACATCCCAAACAAGGCGGCTAACTGCCTTTAGAAAATTAGATCAGGTCTATAGGAGAGAGTATATTCATGTTAGGCAGGTAGAATAGATTCATCTACGCACAACTCCTAGCCTACAAAAATAAATAGAGTAATAAGTAGAGTAGATTTATATTCAAACGAGAGACCAACTCCTTCAAAAGCTCCTCTTCTCCTTCCTGTCGTGTCTCCGCTGTCCTTCATTTCCTGTTGAGGTTTGCGCAGCTGCCGTCTGTTCACTAACACTCTGCTCCCGGCCGCCTATTCTCCTTTTCCCACCTGCTGTCAGATTCAACCCTCCGAGGCTGAAGAGACTCGTCGATCATCTGCGTCGATCGTCTTGTTTTGTTTGTGTTTATTTTTTACAGATAAACCGCGCAAAAGCTCTCTTGCTTCCAGCTTCACTGATGTGAAGCAGTGGATTTGTGTTTGTGTTTAGACTGTTGGTCAGATGAAATCACTGTTTGACCCCTAATGAAACGTTCAGCACTTTGTTAGTGACGCAGCGATCCGGGGCTTTGATCGCAGAGCGAGGGCGAGCCCTGATCCGATTCTTCGGTCAAATGAATAAGCTGTATTCCCTCACTGGGAGTCATTCTTTAATGTGCACGGAAACGTCGAGCTTGACTTGAACATTTCTTCTTTGCTTTGTAAAACAAAAAGTGTTCCGGTTTACAGGCAGTACCTGCAAAACTGAATTCAAAGATCGGCTAGTCCAGCCGCTATTTGAGTCTGTGCATCTTTAGAAATGATCACGAAGCAACTTCATTATAAAAACACTGAAACATGCTTTCAAAATAAAAGCTGGCACATTTAAAATAGAAACAGGGTGTTGTGTGTAGATTTTAAACTCTAAACAAACAAACAAAAAAGTAGAGCTGATCGTTTTATCTTTGAGGAAGCGGTTCGAGCATCTTCTGTCGGCGCTGACCCGGTAAGACGCACATCAAGACCGCAGACTCTTTTCATGAATTATCAAATTAATCGTTTGGTTTGAAGAATGTCAGAAAATGAGGATCACGACGTCCTCAAACACGAGAGGCGACCGACAGTCCAAAACCCAAACGCACTCCGTTCATCATCACGTAAGAAACTGAACCTGGAAGATCAGCCGAGTTAAATACTGAGCCGTAAATAAATGTGTTTATGTTGATCTGACACCGGTGGATAAAGTGAGTAATAAGAGCTCCCGACTAATTTATTGATTACCGGTCTCAGTTTTCTGAACAGACAGCAGGTTAGCAGGTCGCCGTCCCGCCCGGGTCAGAATCACCTCTGCATCAGTGCAGGTGCGTCTGTGTGGCTGCGGCTTGTCGTGTCTCCCGCCTGATGATCGGAGCCAATCAGAGAGTTTTATCCACCAACGTGTTGGCACATTTAAATACAGAGACGTCACGTTCCGTCTGTCTGGATCCTCGCCGTGGAGCTCGTGGCGACGGATACGAGACTTGTGGAACAGAAGAAAAGCTTTAAAATGAAAGGGGGGGGGGGGGGGGGTCTGATCAGCTGGCCGGGCGGAACCGAGCCACGTAGGCGCCACAGGACAGGCAGTAGGGACGGGACGGCCGCGGGAAGCTGCTGGCAGAGCGAGCAGAGCTGGGGGTCCCTGCGGGGCCGGGCCGGGGGGGGCTGGCGGAGGCGAGCGGTGCGGGGGTCCCAGGAGGAGCTGGGTCGGACGGTCCTGTAGTCCGTGTCACGGCGCCAGTCGCTCTCAGGGGGCATGTCCAGGCGGAGCGGCTGCGGGGGGCCGAGGTGCTGCGGAGCGTTGCGGGCAGCGATGGTTGCCGGTAGTGACCGTTAGAGGCGGTGTTGGCTGAGCGGCGAGGGTGAGACAGGGTGGCGTACAGATTCTGTGGAGCCGGCAGGGGGGCCGGACCGGAGGAGACTCTGGGCCTGGGGAGGGAGGCGGTGTTGGAGGGAGGCGGGGCTCGGCGAGGAGCCCGGGGCAGAGTGCCGTAACTCAGCGCGACGCTGTGGAGGCTTTGACCTGAGACAGCCGGACGCCGGTCAGACACAACCAGAAACTGCTGCTGGACACCTGAGGAGGAGGAGGAGGAGCAGGAGGAGGAGCAGGAGCAGGAGGAGCAGCAGGAGGAAGAGCAGGAGGAGGAGGAGCAGCAGGAGGAGGAGCAGCAGGAGGA